CCCATCTATAATCATCTAACTATTAACCCATCTATAGCGGTTTTTTGTCATAGCCTTCGATGGGTCAACTTATGACCTTTGATGGGTCGCGGCAGCAGGCCGAGACTTGAGGCATTGAATTGAACTAAACTAGCTACCCTCTGGTAAACTAACATAACTATGGAAAGATCCACCATTTTATAGCTGGGTAAATCCACTATTTCGACTGGGCCATGTTCAATAGCTATGTTAGTTTACCAGAGGCTAATTGGGGCGGCATATACCAAGTTTATTTCAGCCTCCCCCCAAAACCTCACGGAAGAATAGTGAACTAAGTGAACTTCAGCGCCTGCACCCTGCCTTGTTCAGGGTTCCATCGCCGTTCAAATCAAAAATGCTGAAAATCAAAGACACCTTCAGAGTCCGCCGAATGTTGGGTAAATTGGTGCACAGGGGGGCGAGTGATTGGATTGATGGTGGGTAGATCTGTTGGATGTTTCCAGGGTTAGGATCATCCCTATGTAAACGGTGCTTCAGCTCCCATGTGGTTTTCTAAGATGATTCCATTAGTGTCCATCTTGGATTCCTTGCAATTTGGCATGTTGGGCGCTGGTTGCGTGTAGCTGTAGCCCCATTTATTGCAACAGATTGGGAAGTAAGGCTAGTCAGGTACCCATGCTTGATCCAGATCTAGATCCCATCTTGGAAAGTATCCACCGGAATATTCTGCTCAAAGCGTCGCCTTCGGAGAGAAAAAATTGCTACCCAAAAAGGCAGAAATCAACCCCAAATACCGACAAAATCATCAACCACCTGGAGTATTCCATTCTGTGCTACTTCCACATACCTATAGATGTCTATAACCACACGTTCCATAGTAAAGAAAAGTAAATTGAAAAAAACACTGTCACAAGCACCGGATCATCATCATCAAGCTGCTTCATCTAAAAAACTTAGAATGCTTAAGTTCACCTTCCATATTTATATACTTAATTTCTCCTTGGTTTCCCCATGGTTTTCATGGTCTTCATCCCCTCATCTCAAAATTCTCCCACCTTGGAGATGAAGCTCTGATTGGACGTGGCCACGGCCGCCGCAAAGAGCGTGTTGCCATCGCTGCGGCCCTTCTTGGGTTTCAGGGCCTGGAAGGCGGCGTCCGCTTTCGTGGTGTCGCCAAAGCATTGGAAGACATCCGTGAACTCCTTGGGACATCGGAGTGGACCGGAGGGGATCGGAGGGGGTTCCGAAGCAAAGGGGCTTGAAGCGAGGATGTTTGGAACACTTTGGGAGTGGGGGATATGGAAAATAGTGGAAAATCCATGAAAATCCATGAAAATCCATGGAAATCCATGAAAATCCATGAAAATCCATGAAAATCCTGGTGACATAGTGATGTTGATGATTTCGTTTCGATTTTTTTTGGAAGGTACTGTGGCCAATGTAAAATGGGGAGGTGTAAAATGGTGATGTTGGAAAATGTACTGGGGAGATATGTGGATATGTTTGCTACAATTACTAAGATGATCTAAGATGTGCTTTAATACTTTTAATGAGATATCAGGAACAACATGGGTTGGTCTGACAACGGAAAATAATGCTGAACCACCTTCGGTTGGATCTAGATATTGTGGGTCTAGTAGCTTGACTGATGGCTTCTCCATAAACCCACCTCAGTGAAGTCCAAGAGACGTGCCGACCCACCGTCTCGTCGCAATAGTCCAAGAAATGCTGGTAGGCATCGATAAGATCGGTCCGTGACCAAGACGCCAAGGGTTCTAGGGCTTTGGTCATTGCCGGAATCCCAAAGCCCCCTAGCAACCCTTTAGACCAGATTTTGCTGGCAATCTTTCCCATAGCAAAACCAGGACTACCGCCCCTAACTACTGCTGTTGTTCGGAGCCTGGACGGCAGCGCGAGTGAAACATGAATCACATTCAGACCACGAGGTAGAGATTCTGGAAAGATTTGGCCAGATTACGAACTCAGCTGTCTCCGACAAATCACTGAAACATCGGCTGCAAAACAGCAATGACACTATGACACTATGACCTATGAGTTACCGGTAGGTAGCTGCTTCAAGTCTCCATTGAGCTGAGTCCTTCAATTGCTCCAGAAGCGTGGTCGTGTCCCGGTCAAAGTGCTGCACTTGGCCCTCAGACGCTGCCCAACAATTCTGAACGTCAAAGGCAGAAACGGATAGAAATGGATGAAGGGACAATTAGACAGAACAGTTTCAGTAAGTCCGTGGTTATTTCCCGCAGAAAAACCATCACGTCAATAAAAGAACAGGCTGCCACTGGTGCACGGTGCACCGCCAACAACTTTGGCCACAGCTGGCAGCGGCTTCGCGGCTCCTTTTTCGGTTGGGTCACAGATTCTGCCACAGCACCATAGAAATCGGCCCGTATTGGATCACTGGAATCGCAGCATTTTCTGCGGGCTCAAACGTATTGGTAGGTGAACCTCAGAGGAAACGCGAGCGATCCCCAAGATTTTGATGTGCACATCTGATCATCAGACTTTCACCTTGAAGTGCTCTAGGTCAAAGTTAGAAGGGCTCAACTCACCAAGAAAATTGTTTGTTTTACTATCATGTGGTTGGAAAACTCTTTGTAGCTCCTTGGCTCCCATTTCATATGGATTTTATGTACAGCTCCTCGGCTCCCTAGTCACCAAATAGTGCCAAGTCGA